CAAGCACGCCAATCAGGTACCAGAGGGTGCAATTACAGGACCCAGTAAAAATTTACATTCCAGTCTTCACCCCTCTAATGAGTCCCAATGGTGTCTTCAGGGAAAGGATTAAGCAAGAAGGTGCATCACGGACATAAACCTGTAAGCGCTCAGCAGCTGATATAGTACATCAATTGTCTCAAGAGCGCATTCAGCAGGGAACAGAACCGAAGGTCACACATTCAATGCCAGCCCCACATCTTCATTGTGGTGAGGTCCAAGTACTACCTTTAAGGCAGCGCCAAGAATCAACCAATAAAAAACCTGCAAAATAAGTTCTCCTGGCTCTGCAGCTAAAAAGGAATCATATTAGAGGGAAAAGATCTTGATAAATAAGAAGAAAAAGCCAACTGAAATAGGAAAGACATCCATTCCAGTATGATGGAAGTGCGAAGGGTTATACTGACAGATTAACAGCTGTGTTTGCCAGTGTCCACTTCTACAGCTGCATTAATACTGGAAGAGGGAGAGGCAATACTTCAGGCCAATCATGCGTACTGCTTCATATGTGCTAAGAAGGAACGTGATTACAACAGGAGAAAGTAGAGAGATGGCCAAAACTATCTGTTGCTGCAGTCTTATAGTCAAGGCCCAGGCTGGGTACAGGAAGGTGGCCTGGCTCTATTTCTTAAATGCAACAGCAACAGAAAAAAAAGTCAGGTCACCAGGCTGGATGTGCTGCATGTTAGGGCTGTGTAAATTGCAGGGATGGTTGGACAGAAATACCAAGTCTTTGGCAGGAAAGATGGTTCTCATATATGATGTCAACTGTGTATTAAACTTTGCCTGGAGTTGAGCTTTAAAGAAAAAGAAATATTAGCAATGATTTCTAGCAGTTTGCATCCTCCAAGATGCATGATCCACTGTTTACAAGACTCCAGTGGACAGCACCTTAGACAGAAACATTTTTTTTTTTACAGATTCATCATCATGGTGGTCCCACACAAACACAGCTAATATGGTTTTGCTGGCCCCCAATCTTAACCAGGGCAAAATTAAAGACAAAATTTGCACACAATCTCTAAGTTAGGTGTTCTGGTAAAAAAGCTATTCAACAGAAACATACACTGAGGGATGAGTGTATATTACTCACAAAACTAATCCAAAAACAATTTAATCTTCTTTGAATAAACCAACTGCATAGATAGGAACACTAAATTCTCAGTTGCAATAATACAGATCCAATATGCTAATTCAAGAAATGATGAAAATCAGTTAAAAAGGTATTAGAACAGTAACATAAATCAATCAAGTTGTAAAATCTCAATTTATTGCACAATACCATTGGCCCTCAATTAAGCTGAATCCTGAAAAAGATCACTACTGCATATAGTTGTATAATATATAAACTTGCCACTATGTAACACTGTGAAATACAGTACAATATATTCTTGCTGCAATGTAATGCACTGGCTGTATTTGTATGCAACCCTCAAAAATGCATCAAGATAGAGGATATATACAGTAACTAAAGCATCCCAAACTGAAACTGAAGCACTATATATTGTCGGCATACAAACATTACCTCCTTTGCAACTGTCATTTACTGTGTAAATAAAAATAACATGACCTAATAGAAAATGTTAATTGTTACCGAGCTGGTTTGTTGTAGCACAAAAGACCTCTAGCTTTGCACAGTCACGGAGGAAATCAGAGGAAAGTGAAGATATCATGTTTTTATTCAAATTTAGAGTTCGTAGCTCAGGCATGCAGAGTGGCATACAGATTTCAGAAATGCTGTTTCTGTTTTAAAAGAAAAGAAAAAAAAAAAAAAAGTATAGCAAACATTCATATACTGTATACAGCACTGAAGAAAATATATTTAAAAAAGCATCAAGCCCATCACTAGAACTTAGAAAAAGTTAACCCATACATGTTAAAGTGATATGAGGGCTAAGGCCCTAAATTCCTGTGAGTGTTAACAGAACTACAACTAAAAATAACAAACAGTAACATTCAAATCAGCAATTGCCATTTCTGGCAATCAGGGAGAAGAACAGCAAAAGCCAGAATGAGTTACAATACCGTTTGCAAAATGTACAGTTGCAAGAAAAAGTATGTGAACCCCTTGGGATTACATGGAGTTTTGCATGAATTGGGCATAAAATGTGCTCTGAACGTCATCTAAGTCACAACAATAGAAGAACACAGTCTGCTGAACATAATACTACACAAACATTAGATGTTGCCATGGTTTAATTGCACATAACATGTAAACATTCACAGTGCAGGGAGGAAAAAGTATGTGAACCTTTGGACTTAATAACTGGTTGACCCTCCTTTGGCAGCAATAACGTCAACCAAACGTTTCCTGTAGTTGCAGATCAGACCTGCACAACGATCTGGAGTAATTTTGGACCACTCCTCTTCACAAAACTGTTTCAGTGTAGCAATATTCTTGGGATGTCTGGTGTGAATCGCTCTCTTAAGGTCATGCCACAGCATTTCAATCAGGTTGAGGGCAGGACTCTGACTGGGCCCCTCCGCAAGGCGTATTCTGTGCTGTTGCAGCCATTGTTTTGTTGAATTACTTGTATGCTTTGGGTCATTGTCCTGTTGCATCACCCATCCTCTGCTGAGCTTCAGTTGGCGGACAGATGGTCGTACGTTTTCCTGCAAAATGTCTTGATAAACTCTGGAATTCATTTTCCCATCAATGACAACAATCCGTCCAGGCCCTGAGGCAGCAAAGCAGCCTCAAACCATGATGCTCCCTCCGCCATGTTTTACAGTGGGGATGAGGTTTTTATGTTGGTGTGCTGTGCCTTTTTTTCTCCACACATAGTGTTGTGTGTTCTTCCCAAACAACTCAATCTTGGCTTCATCTGTCCACAGTATATTTTGCCAGTAGTGCTGTGGAACATCCAGGTGCTCTTTTGCAAACTTCAAACGTGCTGCAATATTCTTTTTGGACAGCAATGGCTTCCTCCGTGGTGTCCACCCATGTACTCCATTCTTGTTTAATGTTTTCCTTATTGCAGATGTGTCAACAAAAATGTTAGCATGTGCCAGAGATTTCTGTAGGTCTTTAGCTGACACTCTGGGATTCTTCTTTACCTCATGCAGCATTCTGCGCTGTGCTCTTGCAGTCAGTTTTACAGGATGACCACGCCTAGGGTGAGTAGCAACAGTGCTAAACTTTCTCCATTTGTAGACAGTCTGTCTTACCGTGGACACATGAACATCAAGGCTTTTGGAGATACTTTTGTAACCCTTTCCTGCTTCATGCAAGTCAACAATTCTTGATCGTAGGTCTTCTGAGAGCTCTTTTCTGCGAGGCATGGTTCACATCAGACAGTGCTTCTTGAAACCAGTAAACCCAAAACAGGTGTGTGTTTTTTAAGGTCAGGACAGCTGTCAGCAACACATCCAATATCATCACACTGATTGGAGTCAAGGTTGGCTCACTCCTGGCTCCAATTAGTTCTGGGAGAAGTCATTAAGCTAGGACCTCACATACTTTTTCCTCCCTGCACTGTGAATGTTTACATGTTATGTGCAATTAAACCATGGCAACATCTAATGTTTGTGTAGTATTATGTTTAGCAGACTGTGTTCTTCTATTGTTGTGACTTAGATGACGTTCAGAGCACATTTTATGCCCAATTCATGCAAAACTCCACGTAATCCCAAGGGGTTCACATACTTTTTCTTGCAACTGTATTTCTGTTTTCAGTTCTTCAGCAGAAGCCTCTTACTTTCCACAATGTCGATAAGTTACTGTTGGCACACATTTTCAGGGCACCAATGTAAAATCACAATAGTTATGACGTAGACAGATAATATTACCTAAATTTGAGTTTGAAAGTTAATCTGTAAAACAGTACAGTTTTCTAATACAAAAAATAAGCATTTGAAATCATCTGAGAAACATCTTACCCTTCAAGAACTAACTCTTCAAGCCTTTGAGTAACATTTCTTAAACAATCAGGAAAACTTTTCAGCTGGTTGTATGAAAGGTTAAGATGCTTCAAGGTTAGACAAATAGCACTTGTGTTCAGTTCAATAGAAGGACCAATTTCATTTCTTGATATGTCAAGGAATGCAATACTGCTCATCTCCGGAACACAGGTAGGGAAGGATTTGAAGCCATTATTACGCAAGTCTAAGTAGGTCAAAGACTTTAAAGCCTAGGTTTAAAATACATTAAATGATTTATTACAATTCTTGCAATTATTCCAACTGTAAGCAAAACTGAAACCAATGATTTTATAACATTTGTCATAAAATAATTAATTGAAGACAATTCCTAGAGGGGCGCAACGGGCAAACTTTGCCATGATGGGGCAGTTTATGCCCAGTCCAACAAAGATTTGACTAAATTATTTACACCTTTACCACTCAAAATTGCAAATGATCCATAAATAAAAAAACTTGCTTAAAATTTTTTTATAATTTATTCCTTAGTCAAATCAAATGCTAGTGAGGTAGCAGGATTTAAACAGATGCAATAGCAATTATTTCACTTTACAATAAATTAAAAAAAAAAAATGAATGTATTAAAATAAAGCAACCTCTGTACAAATTTAAACTGGTATTATACTCAAACCGAAAATGTAATATATTTATATATATTTCAGCTTATTAACTAGTTGTAAACAGCAGATAGCCGAATTACGGCTGCACTGCGGCCGGCCAGTTCTGGGTGAACGTCATATGACGTCCTCCCAGAACGCACTCTCCCGCGTGCTCCCGGGGGCGCGCACCCGGAGATCTCCGTGATAGCTGTGTCCTACGGACACAGCTGATCACGCGATGTGGTAAAAGGCCAATCACAGCAGCCTTTTACCACGTGATCAGCTATGTCCAATGACACACTGATCACAGGGTAATGCAATTGTCAGTTCTTGGCTGCACTTTCCTCACACTGTCAGAGCGTGCGGAAAGTACTGCTGAGAACCGGTAGTTGTCAGAGTAGGGATCGGCACTGATCATCAGGGCACTGATGATTTGTGCCCTGATGATCGGTGCTCAGCAGTGCTGCCCACCAGTGCCACCCACCTGTGCCCAGCAGAGCCCACCAGTGCCACCCACTAGTGCCACCTACATGTGTCCAGCAGTGCCACCCACCTGTGCCCACCAGTGCCACCCACCAAAGCCCATCAGTGCAGCCCAGCAGCGCCCAGCAGTTGTGCCAGTCAATGCCCAGCAGTGCTGCCAGTCAGTGCCACCTATCAGTGCTGACTATCAGTACCCATCATCAGTGCTGCCTATCAGTGCCGCCTATCCATGCCACCTCATTAGTGCCGCCTATCAGAGCTCTTCAGTACTGCCTATCAGTGTCCATCAGTGCTGCCTCATCAACGCACATCAGTGAAGGAGAAAAATTACCTGTTTGCAAAATTTTATAATAGAAACAAAAAAAAAAAACTTTTTTTAATTGTTTGCACTTTTTTGTTTATAGTGCAAAAAGTAAAAAACACCCAGCTGTGACTAAATACCACCAAAAGAAAGCTCTATTTATGAGAAAAAAATGATAAAAAAATCATATGGGTACAAACTTGCATGACCGCGCAATTGTCATTCAAAATGCGAAAGCGCTGAAAGCTGACAATTGGCCTGGTAAGCAAGGGGTTATAAGTGCCCAGTAGGTAAGTGGTTAATCATCAGATGTGGTGGCTGCACCTGTTTTCTCTTTTTTGGCTTTTTCCTCTGTTTTCAAATGGTGATCTAGCCAGTAACACATCCTGTATTAGTGAGACACCATTTTGGTTTATTGAGCACAGGGGGCACAACAGAATTGTCAGTTTCGGGGGGGGGGGGGGGGTTTAATGTATTAGCATATATGAATACAATAACAAATTCAAGTAAAACTCCAGTTCACATTTTATAATCCATTACAGCAACAGTTTTCTCCTTTTAGGTTAACCACTTGAAGACCAGCCCAATTAGCTTTACTGCTACAGGGCGGCCACCTTGCGCAGAATCTTATATAAACGTGATTCACATTTCTAGGTAGGGTTTGTCACAGCACAAGCCAATCACAAGCTGCTGGCCGGTGATTAGCCACCGGCAACTAGCGATCAGCTCTTTCATAGAACACAGCTCTGTCAGTGTAAACAGCACAAAGCTGTGTTCAGTGATAGGCAACGTAGTTGATTTTTCATTCCCCAACTAGATCCACAGTAAAAGCAGCACACAGTACACACACACACAAACACGTTAGGCAAATATTTAACCCCTTGATCGCCCTAGATGTTAACCCCTTCCTGGACAGTGTCATTAGTACAGTGACAGTGCATATTATTAGCACTGATCATTGTAATAATGGCACTGGTGATGTCAGTGGCAGTTAGTTCCCCCCAGCATCAGTTAGTGTTAGACTGACCTCCGCAGTACAATTACAATACAAATTAATACAGGAGGGATCAAGGCCCTGCTCGTTAGATCATACACTAATCATTTAATCACCCCTGCTAGTGTTAACTGGTCTGTCTCATCCACGTAAATTGATATATTCTTCTGCAGAGCTTGTGCTTCTGAAAAACAAACTCACTGGCTGATTTATCAGATGAAAATAGAAGAAAACAAGTCTAAAAAAGGAAATTAATGCAGCCATTATATCTAAGAATTTTAAGCTGCAATATAATAAATTTTTGCGTTTGAGTTTAATACCGCTTTAAAGAAAGGCACAGCTGCACAGATAATATAATGCTGTAATAAACTAACTGGCAGCACTGATGGCCACTGATTGGCAGCACTGACTGGCATTACTAGGTAGCACTAATGGGCACTGTTGGGGCTGCACTGATAATCCCAGCACTGATAATCAGTGTCCTGATTATTAGCGTAAATGTCCCCTTCAGACTTACTGTGTTCAGCTGTGTCCAAAGGACAAAGCAATCACAGAGAGCACCAGGTATGCGCTGCAGCGGGGGCGGCCACAGTTTGGGGTGGACGTCAATAGACGCCCTCCCAATACTGGACAACCGTGCTATATCACAGTCAGCAAATTACTTTGCTATATTTCCTGCTTAGCAGCAGGGCATAGGTACGGGATGTCCTCATTGAGATGGAATGCTGAGAACACTTTCAGAAGAATAGCACTGGGCATAAGACAGCCTAGTGAAGGGTGATGAAAGGCTTTTTACAGAAAAGGATTGTCAGCTTAGAAAACACATCTGACAAATATGATAGCGACAAAAATAGCTGAGATTCCAAAGAAGCACAGGGGGCTGCAAGGGGATCCCAATATTAGATACACCTTGAAGAAAGTGAAGCTAGAGGCCATTGAAGGAGAATGGACAAGGCTGGGACCTTACCTATCGGAGTACTTAATGCCAAGTTCGAGTTAGGCCATGTTCTGGTCAAGACCCAATTATAGGAAGACCAGAATGCAAGGCGCAGAATAATCTCTGTGATTTAAGTGCCCGTGTTCACACAAAAAAAAAAAAACAAAAGAAGATGATTTACAGGTGCGATAATATATCTTCCAAGAAGAGGCTTTTCTTTTTTTTTTTTTTTTTTTAGCAAGGTAGGAATCGGGGTCTCTTCTATCCTTTAACAATTAGGATTCAACAGCCTTGAGACAGCATATCTGGCCAGTTGGGAAAAGCTAGGGGCCATATGTTAGAAGTCTGAGTATGTCTCTGAACCATTTATTTTTTATGTGTTCGTACCAGGTTTTTCTGGGCCAGTTCGATACAGTTAGAATCAGTTTTCCACTCTTCCTCTATTTTCTTGAGCAGATGAGGTAAAATTGTACTGAAGGGAAGGCATAAATTAGCCTAAACTGAGATTAGCCTAAACTGAGACCAGGGAATTATAAAGCCATCTGAGGCTAGAGCTAATGGATCCCTGGTCCTGGGAACAAAGGCAGTGTGGTATTGAATCTGGAGGCTAGGATGTCCACATCTTGAATCCCTAAATTTGACATATCAGACTGAAGACATCTGAATGAAGGGCTCCTTACATTTGATCCAGGTGATGGCAGCAAATAAAATTGGCTTTCTAGTTGTCCAATCCTCGACTATGAACTTCAGAGATAATTGGAGAGTAACTTTCTGTCCAAGAAATGATCTGGTTTGCTTCTTTCAAGGCAGTCAGGCTCCTGTTGCCCCCTTTATTGTTGATGTAGGCAATGTGGCATTGTCTGACTGGACCTTGATTGGGTGTCCAAGATGCTAATAGGAAGCTAGGCTTCCCTCAAAACACATGTTCCTTGGACTATTGGGGATTGGAACACTCCACCCCCACCCCCTCCATCCTGACAGATTTGTGTCTCTTGAGACACCTTCCAGTGAAAGGGAGGGATTTCCCCATTGTTAGAGCTGCAGTGGCGATCCATAAAGAAAGAGTTCCTTCCTTGGCTGGACAGGAGCATTGGCAAATCAAGAGAAAAAGCCTGCCTTTTCCAAGCCAACAGGGTATTTTGATGGAGAGTTCTTGAATGTAATTGGGTGAATGCTTTGAAGAAGGCTACAATAAATGTAGAACTCTCAATGTGGGTTTCAAGATTAGAGCAAATGCTCTTACAGAAAGAAACTCATAGTAAGACTTGCTTGTGATATGTCAAAGGACCAGACCCATGTTTTCCAGATGAAGGGAAGGCTGAAGAACAGATGTGTTGAAAGTGATCACCCAGTCTAATGCCTGGAGCATTTGAATGGTCTTGTGGATAGCTGCAATACAGATGAATCCTTCAGAAGAAGGTTGTGTAGATAGCCTGTGACTTAAACTAAAACCTGTGACTTGGCTGTCCTGAGTTCTGAGCAGGGCAAGCAGAAGTGCTAAGACCATTGCAAACATTCTGGGAGCAGAGGATAGGCCAAAAGGAAATGTGACAAACTGGAATGCAAAGTACAGAAAGTGCTGATGAGATGGGTAAATTGTAACAAGTTGCTAGGCATTTTGGATATCCACAGATGCCACATAGACCCCCCGTCTCAAAGAGGCAATTACTGTCCTTGCAGCTTACGTGCAAAATGTTGAAATCTGAAGGAATTTGTTGAAGGATTTTAAATCCAGAAAAGGATTAATACCCCTGTTGGGCTTTGGTACCATGCACAAGTTTGAATATAAACCTCTGAACCTGTTTTTTGGTGGTAATGGCACAACCACTTCCTTCGACAAGAGGTGGGTCAGGACATTGTTCACATTTAACTGTCCTTGGGCAGTTTTTTGTTGATTTGAAAGAGATGAGTGGGGTTTTGAACCCTTTTGAAACCACTGATTAAACCCACAGATCTGGGACATCTGTGACCTAGACAGAAGCTGTTACATATGTCCCCCACTCTTAGGAGTGAGGGAGCTCCTTCATTGGGAAGAGTGATTTGGGGAGGGCTTGGTAACCTTGGTGGGCCAAGTCTTGCATCTAAAAGAAGGACTGAACTTAGGTTATGAAGTTGAAGCCTAATTGGACAGGTGCTCCGTATTTTAAAGAGCTGCCAGGGACACCTGCGGATGGTGGTTTTGGACACCACTATTGTGGAAGTAAAACCTTTCCGCCAGTGTTCTTAATAAATTGGTCAAGTTCCTTACTGAACATTTATTCCTTAGAAAGGCATACGTGTGAAGCGCCTTTTTCAGGCAGCTTCAGCTGTCCAAGCTTTAGTTATAAGATTCTGTGCATGTGAAAGGAGACTCTGGAAATTAGTCTCATGACAAGTTCTAGGGCATCTACAAAGAAAAGCAGAGCACAAGGCAATTGTTGTAACTGCTGTGTAGCAGCACAATCATGATACAGAGTTACATTGATTTTGCATTGTCCTAGCCCAGTTAGCAGTTGGACATACTGAAATTGCAGTAAGAGCTGGTTGCAGGGCTGTCCTTTGATGAAAGGGCATTTAGGAGAATCTCAAACTTTCTATCTGTAGACTCTTTGTATGTAGTTACATCTTCAATAAGTACAGTGAAAGGTTTGACTGGGACAGAGATGACAGCATCAACCACAGGAATGGCCCACTTCTTTGTGAACTCTTTATGAACTGGATAAAGTTCAGAAAAGATTTTGGGAGGAGTGAAAATTCTTTCAGAAGTGACTCAGTCATCACAGACAGCACATTCTATCTGTTCATGAACAAAGAATGTTTTGCAGGGTTTTTATCGGTCTCTTTGTACCCAAAGAAGCATGGTGAGACAGAGTCCATTTGCACAAAGCCAGCGCTTTTGTGGACAGAGGTAATGAGCTTTCCAAAGTTAGCAAGCATGTCGTGTGAATCTCCCTCAATATAGTGACAATCTTGAAGGAAAAAAAAAATCTTTTGCAGCTCCCACTAATATGCCCTCAATATTTTCTTAATTTCCTTTTCTGTCTGTCCTCTAGGACTGATATATCAGGATTTGACTCAGGTTGAGAAGCAG